TTATTCCACAGAGTTAACAGGCCGCTGCTGTACGGCGTCGGCTCAGGTGCACATGAAGGAGATGGGTTTTCAACAGTACGCAGAACATTAACGACAGAAGGGCGGGGGGCGGGGGGTAGGATTCTGTAAAAGTAATCATGTCTGTCATTTTAACGGGTAAACAATAGTGTATGATGGTATGTCCAATAACAGTGACACTGCCAGCTGTTTTTTCCTGTGTTTGGTAAAAACATTTGTCAGTCAAAAACCTAATTACGGGATGCCAGCTGCGTTTTCACGCACAATAAGTAGAAATGGCCAAGCTTGTGGGTGGTGGGAGTGGGGTGTGGACACAATCAACTTCACTGCCAAACGTTGGAGTGACTGTCTGTTTGTAAGCTGTCCAATAAATAAATCTCTAAATAAATGATGTTTACATCTCAAACTCTGATTTTAACTTTAGGTGTACAGCTTTTGTAGGTCCTTGGGTGCTCTGACACGGAAGTCGTGCATCACAGACTTTAATCTCACCCAATTAATTACAAAGCAATTGTGAGGAACTACACAAACCACCTTGATGGCCTTGCTTATACATGTGTCTGTGTTTTACTGTTCCAGGATCAGCCTTAAAATGTTGTCACTTATATGGTACTGGTACTGTAGTAATGAATCAAATATATACATACTATAAACATATTGTCTTAGTTTTGAGATGAGAAATGGCTGCCTGGCAAGAGGGCAACCTTTTTTGTGATGTTAAAGACAAGGAGTTCTGACGTTCTGGGAACATCGTCTCAGCCTAGAGCGCCTGAATTTGGGCATGGCTTGTGTGTGTCTATTAAAGATGAAGCTATTTAAGGGGACATAAAGTTGTTCAAAGGCACCTTGCTGTACAGAGAGAATGAAAATATGGGCTGTGATTATTAAAGTTATCATTTTTGGGCTCTTCTCCCAACAAGCTCATATACTTTATATATATATATATGTGTATATATATATATATATTTATTATATATATATATATATTTTTTTTTAACTAGACTTTTGGTTCCATAACATGCACAAGTACGTTATTTAATCAAAGATTAAATGAGTCAGACGTCATTTAAAAGGAATCCTTTAATAGTCTGCACCTCAGACTGCATTGGGGACTAATTTGTTTTATGATGTTGACATGAGTATATGAGACTCAACAAATAGCATTTATGTCCTGTTGTTTATACTTCTCCTTTTTGAGCATTGCTCTTATTCTACAGTGTTGGTGACAGAGGCAATTATCTCTTCCTGTCAGGAATGCAGAGAATTTCCTGTGTTTTTTTTTTTTTTTTTGGCTTCTTCCGGCCCTGTTAGTGGTTGTGCCTCAAAATGTGACAGAGAGCCTGCAGGGGCCCAGCAAGCTGTGATTGACTGTCAGGGTTTCCATCACTGTTAATGTTCAACAGGAGCGTCGACACAAGCGCTACCTTCAGAAGGGTCATTTTCACAGCTTTGGATCACGAGAACCTGCTGAATCGAATGCATTCAGTGGGTGAAATATGTGCACCTGCTCCGAGGAAGCCTCAGATTCGGCCTCACATCTCTCTCTCTCTCTCTCTCCTGGGAGCTTTTGTTGGACAAAACCTCTTATGTTCAATGCCCTTTCACTTGATTTAGGAGTAACATGTCCCTCATGACCTGGACAGCATACCTCAGTGCCTCAGACTGTTATTCCACAGAGTTAACAGGCCGCTGCTGTACGGCGTCGGCTCAGGTGCACATGAAGGAGATGGGTTTTCAACAGTACGCAGAACATTAACGACAGAAGGGCGGGGTGTGGGGGGGTAGGATTCTGTAAAAGTAATCATGTCTGTCATTTTAACGGGTAAACAATAGTGTATGATGGTATGTCCAATAACAGTGACACTGCCAGCTGTTTTTTCCTGTGTTTGGTAAAAACATTTGTCAGTCAAAAACCTAATTACGGGATGCCAGCTGCGTTTTCACGCACAATAAGTAGAAATGGCCAAGCTTGTGGGTGGTGGGAGTGGGGTGTGGACACAATCAACTTCACTGCCAAACGTTGGAGTGACTGTCTGTTTGTAAGCTGTCCAATAAATAAATCTCTAAATAAATGATGTTTACATCTCAAACTCTGATTTTAACTTTAGGTGTACAGCTTTTGTAGGTCCTTGGGTGCTCTGACACGGAAGTCGTTGGGTGTTTTTATTAAACCAAAGGGCAAACTGCAGGACCTGGAGGCTAAAAAAAGGCATTGTTTTTTGGCAAGAAGTTTTAAGCATCTTAACAGTGACACAAGCTTAGGTAATAAACCAGCATAATAAGGCGGTTTTTATAGTGCCACCTATGGTTAGGGAGGTGTATGCTCTTTTCATACATACCTGTATATTATTTATTGTTATTTTCAAGACGAGCTAAGTGCTACATTACATTACATTACAGTGAAACAGCCACGTCCCTGAGCCAGGACAAAAAGGACATTCTTCAAGTTTTTTGGATGTCAGATGTCAGATGTTTGACATTAATTTTTGTCCTCGTGCCTAAGCATGTGAACCTATGTCACATGATTTATTTGTTTGTGCGTGTGTTTGCTAAGTTCTGGCAGCAGTCAACTCTGTTTCATTTGACTCCAGGGGATAGGGAATAGCTCTGTTTGTGGAAGGGAGAGGTGCAGGAGGAGCTGTCCTGCCAAAGCGTGGACCGTCTCCACCCTGTACACGCCCTTCTGTCCTCCACCCCACTCTCACTCGCTGCTGCTCCTACTATCGCTTTGGTTTTTCTGGAGCAGTGGATCAGGGCGCAGGTCCAGAGCGGGAAAAAAAAAATACAAAAAACATGTGTGCTCTCAAAATGGAGCAGTGAAGAATGACATCAAGGCAGTTGAGGCCAACTTCAGGGAGAGTGAAAAATGTTTACTGGAAAAGAAATCACATTCAGAAAATTCCTGGGACACAGCAGTTACAAACGTGTTCAGGAACTCTAATCTACAAGGAAGATTTTTTATTTTGTGCAATAAAAACAGAATAGAAAACACATCTGAAAAGGTACAGCTGCTTTTCATTATCGTTGTTTCCTTGACAGGGTGTGTGTGTGTGTCAGCTTGGTGCAGCCATACTTGTAGGGACATTTTAAAAACAACATTGCTCTGAGGATTGAAGTTAGGGCAGGGAACTTGTCCTACAGTCAGAGTTTTCTTTCCATCTGTCTCGATACGCCGAACCCAATAACAGCTACATTTGGCTTCAGGTCTGCTTAGTTTAATTTTTTTAATTATTATTTATTTTTTCCTTTATTTACTCAGCTGGTCTGTGATGGTTCCCTGGAACGAAGAGAACACGTTTTTGCTACATCACCTACCGTTCTTTAGTTTGTCTTTGCTACACACTGAATATAATCAAGCATTAAAATATAATCTTATATCAGCAGACACAGGCAAATATTGACTGTGCGCAGTTTGACAGTTGACACACTGGTTGGTGCAGCTTCTTCACTCTTCCCACAGGTGAGAGCTGCACATAGTTTTTACTCTCCTCTCGCAGTCTTTAAAGAAGGTGAATTTGGTGAAGTTTGTTGATGAGTACGTACATCTCATGGATGAAGATCGGTCATGGTGAGCTTTGCTGCTTCTCCTCTGTCAGGGAGGGAGACGAGATGCATCTGGAGATGTCTGATCACTCTTCCAAATGGAGTAAATGTTTAGGATTAAGAAAGGGCTGTGAAAAAGAAACTAAGAAAATAAATTCACAGTTATAAAATATAGATAATAAAGTTATGATTGCATGAGAATAATGTTTATCAGAAAACATTCTTATATTTTTTTAATTATTATTTTTATTATTTTATAGTAAAAAAATATCCATACTGGCCAACAAGCTAATAAACGCCAAATGTGTTGTTCCTCCAAGTCGGTGAAGTATTTTTGAAGAATAGAAAAAGTTTCTCAAACGTACAAAAAAAAAAAAACAACGAAAAATTTGGACTTTCTTCCTGTAAACTTCTGCCTTTTTCTCTGTTCTTATGAAGTGAGACGTTACTCTACGTCTCACATCCAATTTCTTTTCTTAATATTGTTTACGTCCGTCATATTAATGATTCTGTTATTTTGGGTTTGCCTTCTTCTTAACTCTAATTGAGTGGACTTCCCACTGAGCTTCCTCAAGCTATTCCTGCCTCTCTGATTCATTCTTGCGCTGAGGGACGCCTCAGTGTGCGCTGCCACATACATCTCAGCCACTTATGTTACGATAATTCAATGATGCCTTGGACACGCCATCTGTCAGCCTCTGTGTTTCCTTCAGGGACTGTAGCTCTTGTTATCGTAATGTTTCGGCCACATATTTTACTGAGACTAATGCCTAGGTCACCACCCACTTTACTGGCTGCGGATATATACATGCACTGCACGATTATATTTACATTTGAATTTGAGCATCATATTTTAGTCTCTCTCTGTCCTTTCTGTCTCTTTTCTGTCTTTTGTCCCCCTTATATCAAAGTGCTTTTATGGTAATTTCCTTTAACGAAGTCCATTCTTGGACGGACGTCTTTGTACAAGGGTCAACTTGACGTCGGGACGAAGCAGCGGGACACTGAGCCAAGTACTTCCTGTCCCTCTGATGGGAAACCTTCATGCAGTAGTTAAAATTGTTCAATCTATCTTTGTGGAATCTTTTGAAACCAGGCCAAATGAAAGTGTTTGGCAGTAAATTTATCGTGTAATAGAACACATCTGTTCTCTGATTATGTTGAGAAAGATTGACTACAGGTGTTTAGACAAATGATTAGAATGCCTTCTGTTTCTGAGTTTAATTGTTGACCAGTTTAATTGTTGACCAGTTTGTGTAATGGTACTGTTGTTGTTGTATCTGCCAGAAAAACAGCCAATCATATTTTCTGCAAACTTTCCAATTATTCATGTCACTTCAGTGAAGACTCCATTCTCATTACCTGTGTGTTGGTGCTTTTTGGCAAACGACCACAGTTTAAACTTACTCCTCTGTTTATTTGCCTTGTTTCCTCCTCAGTCTCCCAGTCGAACAGCAGCCTAAAGAAACACCGAAGCCGGAGCATTTTTAGCCCTTTCTTCTGCTGCTTCCGCAACTACAATGACTACCAAGTGGATCCTCCAGCCTCCAACAACAAGTCGCTGTCTCTGCCTCCACCACCGGAGGAGAACGGCAGTCCACCCAAGGTAAAGTTACAGTTAAACATTTTCATTCAAGTTTTTCACTGCTCCATGGAATCACGACATCCACAGCTCACAAGATTGAAAGGCTTTTATGTGATTGGTCAGTCAAGTCAACTTGCAAAAGTCATGTTAACATTCGCTAGTTTTAGCGGGGAAAATTAATCATGGGGTTTCGTCAAGTCTCGCTAGGTATTGATATTTTTCCATCCACTCTAGGGTACGACAGGAAAAAAAACGTCCAAATTCTTAGGGTTTTCTCGTACAGTCCATAAACATGCAGAATTGAGCGTTAGCATGAATGGTTGTGAGTTTCTATAGTGTACACAGTGGATAATAGCTGCGATTGGCTGCAGCTTCCCTGGCAACCCCTGAAAACCATTAAACCATAGAAGGAGAATTGAAAAAGTGTAGAGTTTTGGATTATAGTAGATGCGACTCCCATGTGTTTCCCTCGTCATAGCAGACTGTACGATATAGATCCATGTGAAGAACAGCTTGTTAAAATTAGATTTTTTTTTTTTTGCTTTATTGAAGGAGACTCTTAATTTCTCTCCAGATTCAGTAATGACTAACATTTGTTTTGTCACAGCGAGCTTGTTAAGAGTTTGCCTTTTCCTGCAGAGACGGAGGCACCGCGCTGCCTCGCTCGGCTCCCTCCGCAAATTTTTCCAGCTGCCTCAAACCCGTTGAACCCAGAGCTTGTTTACCATCCACTGCTTGAAAACATGGGCAGGCGTCCCATCTTACATTCTTTGCTATCTGCCTATGCTCGCTACAGTGCACACAGAATAACACACACACACACACACACGGAGTACAGGCTGTAGAACACTAATGCGTAATCTCTCTTGTGCGCCTCCTTGCAGGATTGCTTAAGTTATACATGACATCACATGTACGCAAACACACACGGACACACAAACACAGATGCACTGCTGCTTCTTTAAAGCCCATAAAGCAGGATTTGTGTTTATGTACTGTGATTGATCGCCTGGCACTCGTGCCGTCCTCCTATGCTCACACACACGTTCGCACAAAAAAGAAAAATACAACTGCACCGAAGATGCTTGAAAAACTAATGTTCTGTTCACAGAGAAGACGCCAAAACCACCGCCTCCTTCACAAACACAGCGTTCTGCTGCCAGGGCAGGTACACGCTGCTATAAATGGACCGGGATCACATCACACTTCCACTCCTGTTCAGCTGTAAATGCCTCTCATTTAGGGCCGGAATGCAGAGACCGTCACACACACTTTGCCTGTGGTCAGTGCTAACCTGTGCCGAACCCTTCCAGATTAGTCTCCATTCATTTGAAGCAGATGTATCCAAAGAGCGGCGCTGGGGCTCTTAGCAAACTTTATATCTAAATTTTACACTTCATCATTGCTATTAAGTTTCATTTCTCTTATTTGTTTGTTTTAATAAATGTATTAATTTATTAATTGTGAGTTCAAAGTTAGATTTTGTTCAGTAGTCGTTTTTTTATTATTTTATTTTAGCTAATGGGCTAGCCTAGATGAGTTTTAATTATTATTAATATTATTATTCGTTTTTACATCTTTTGGTCAACCAATTGCTGTATTTTTGTCAGTTATATCCTTGAGCAATTTTATGAAAATTTTTTATGGATTTTGTCCCGTTTTCACCTATTTTTCTTTACTATGTATTAGCATATGTTGCTATGTCTGCGCTAATTATTTTGCAACTGTAATTGTTGCTGGATATTTTCTTGTTACATTAATACCACCACCGATACTCACAATTGATCTGGAGGCAGTCGGTGATTTATTAATTTTTTTTGCCGTTAAAAGACTTGAATCATGAATAAGAGCTCACTTCTGAGCTGGCTTCCTGCCCTGACGCTCCTCCCACCAGTGTTCAGAATTTCTGGAAGGCCTGTATGTGTAACTATGGCAGCCGTTTTTGTTTTTCGTGAGCTGCTTGTTTTCACTTTCTATCACTGTGTGTACTATATTGGACGCCCGTCCCTTTTCCCTCCCTCCGTCCCTCCCTCTCCCCCGTCCCGCACTCTGCATGTGTTGATTCAAATATTGATGTTGTCGATTTCTCCCTTGCAGGAATTTCTTACAGTTTTCTTTTTTTTTTCTTCCCCGTCTCTTTTTCTCCTACCTTTTCCCCTCTCCCTGTTTATTTGTCTGCAGTGTGACCAGGTCCAGGTCATCCCCATTCCCAGTGTATGTATCCTTATCTTTTTTATTTATCTTCTTCTACTTCTTCTAACCTCCATCTCACTAAAACACTCCCTCTGCCTGCTCTTTGTCATCCTTCTGTCTGCATGTACATGTTGACAATGAGGTTATTTATCCTTGTGGGAAACTCTCCCAAATCCTACTTTTGTTTCACTTGATAAGATAACAACCTGCTGGGTGAAGGACTGTCACATCCTGGTGTTTTTCTGTTTTAAAATGACGAAAAAAAAGATTAATATTTTTCCTTTCTGACAACCTTTTACTCTACTTTGCACTTTCGTTTTGTCTTAACATTTTTGGCTAAACATTTCCAGTTATTTTTATTTCACCTATATCAATATGTTAAGGTATTTTTCTGGGAAGTCATTCACCATTAATTACTGTATATTAAAATGGCTTCTTTAGCATAAATTACAGAGTTAGCATATGGCTAATTTTGAATCTATTTTTGGACTTGTCTTGCTCAACTACTTTTGCTTCATTTTTATATGTTAAAATTGAGATATTACTTGAACTAATACCTTACAATCTTTGCTCGAATGCAAATATTTTTCGCTGCTGTCTTTGGCAAACCAGTTGTCTTATTTTGATTATTTTATTTTGGTTGGTTTTATGTTATATATTCTTTTTTTTTTAGATCATATTTTGCCTTTTTTTAGCATAACAAATCCTTGATGTTTACTTTTTTCTCTCTCTCTCTGATGTCAAACTATTTCTGGCCCAACTTTGTTTATCATTTATTTATTTACTAGAATTATGATTTTGGTAAATGTTAAAGAACAGGTAAGCCAACAAATAACTAATAATTTTGGAGCTTTTCAACATTTTTTGGTAACATATTTTACTTCACCTAGCCAGTAGAACAACTTTGTTAACTACAAACAAACTTAACTTATTTGTATTATTTGCAACATCATAACATTTTTGGTGTATTAGGAAAATACTGAAATAACCTAGATGGCAAAAACATGTTCATGAATGACTAAGAATTTCAAGGACAAAATTCAAATATTTCCAGGGTTTATGGGACCAAACCAGTGCTATTCTTTTCCACTGTGGTTTTAAATTTCATTTATGTGAATAAATGTTATAATAAACCACGTGTCGAAGGGGAGATTTTAGCTGACCCTTTGTTTTGTTTGTGCTAAAAATCACTTTTGACTGGAGATATTTCGGCCTGTGTTTTTGCTGTAATTTAGGATATTCACACTCACAGCAGCCCACATCACAGCTGGAGCTTTTTAACCAACACCACACAGCAGACACCTCCCTTCAATGTCAGGAAGTGCATGTGGCCGCGAGGTCTGCGCTTTGTGGTCCCAGCCCAGGGCGGACGAGGACTCTGAAAAGGCCATTTTTAAAATAACTCCAAATAAACTAGACAGGTCACGTCTGTGTCACCATTCAACATAAACCAACAACAACAACAAAAATCCAGCCTGTTTTTCCGGAGTGGCTCCAATTACCGACCTATTTTAGTGCATTTAAGGTGCGACCTCAGCTAGGTTTTCACAGTTAAGGTCGTCATTTTGTCCGTCTTTGTAGGGAATAGGTACGGGTCGCAGGAAGTCTTTATGAT